TTTCCAACCGCCCCCCACCGGTTTTAGCCGCCACAGCCTCAAGCAAAGAGGAAGCAGAACCAGACCCAAGAAAGAGCGCCTCGTCGTCCCCAAGATAACCGAAGTTCGAGGCCGGGGAGTGCCCACGCATGCGCACACTCTGCCTTCCTTCCCGTAACCTCCAGAAGAACGCAACCCGTAAAAAGACTGCCAGAAGCCGAGGGCGCATGTGCGGCTACACCGACACCCCGGCCGCCTCCGCCTTCTGTCAATCCGTCCGCCCAGCAATCTCTCCTCTATAAACACCGTCCGGAAGTAGTGCCCATTTCTGGAAACGAGACCTCGTTAACCAATCGTTGCCAGGGGCGGTACGACGGGACTAGCCGGGACGCGCCGTCTCATTGGTTGCGTTGGAGGAGTGGGCGGGGCCAAGGGTCGAGGTGCGGCCAAAGCGAGGAGGCGCGAAGCCAGGCAAATTTGCGGCCGCCGGCGGAGGCGTGGCCCCGGGGGTGGCCGGGAAGGCGGTGAGGGGCGGGGCCCGAGGCCGGGGCGGAGCGGCAGTGGGGCGGGACGACCGTGGGCCCAGAGAGCAGCGGTCGGCCACCGGCGGCGGGAGATCGCGGGTGAGGGAAGCGCGACGCTCGCTGGTTAGGGAGATCGGCGCTCGGCCGGTAGGTGACTGGGCGGGACCCCGGGACCCCGAGCAGGGAGCAGCGGGGATGGGTCGCCCCTCAGCCCGGGGTCGGGCTGCGGCCTTGCCCGCCGCCCCAGAATGGGGGGGGGGGGGGTCGGCGGCGCGGCCGGTCGGACCCACTCGCGCTCAAGCCCTCGGCGCTGGTGGCCGCGGCGCCCTCACGCGCGCTGCCGGGGCCACGGTCGCACGCCATGCTCGCCGCAGCCCCGCAGGCCACACGCTCGCCAGGAGGGCGCGCAGGGGCGCCCTGCTTCCCCTTCCCCGACATCCCCATTCCCCGGCGCTCTCAACCCCACCGGCAGGCCTGCCCCTGCTGCTCCGTTCCCCGGCTGCCCCCAGGAGCGGGGCTTGTCTCGGCACCGGGCGGAAGGTGTCTAGTGTTCAAGTGCGTCCGGTCCATGCGCCCTTCCACCTGCCCTGGCAGTGAAACCCTCTGGCCTTGCCTGGGAAGTTCTCGGGTCATACCCCGAGGCAGGGAGAAGGAGCAGATCCTGCCCTTGACACCCAGCCGGGCACTGTTGGCCACTCGCAGCATCCTCTTGCTTCCCCTGACCCCGCTGTAATTCTTCAGTCCGCTCCACTCAGGACTTTCTATGTCTGCTCAGATATAATATTCCCACCCTGGAAGCCCATCGTGACCCCGGCAGCCTGCCGCTACGGGGCACCAGGCAGAAAGAGGCCACTTGTACAGCGCAGAGTCCCACCTGCTCAGGAGCCTCCTTGATGCTGAGTAACTTCAGAAAAAGCGTTTCCTTCTTACTGAAGTTAAAATGTTGCTCTCAGTCCTGAAGGGTGGACTGGGGAATGAGAGTGGGGAGGAGAGGATGAGTGGAGAAAAGGTCCAGAAATGAGTGGTGTAAATGGCAAAATTATTGTTGTTAACTGGAGGCAGTGGACACCAGTGAGTTGGTTAAGGGCTCTAAAAGCAAGTAAAGTTAAAAGATGAGAGGTGGGGCCTAATACAAAATAGCAGTCTGAAGTTTATTCCAGGAAAAATGTTGAAAACCCCTTGACTAGAAACGTGGTCTTTCTGAAAGATTAGAAAGAGATAGCATCTTAACATTAGTGATGTGTTTTTTACTTAGTGTCTTCATACCTGTCTGTGTGATAAGATAGATAATAGTGTCCTATTTTATAGGTGAGGCACCTGAGGCACATGAGGGGGAGGTATTTATCTTGCCTAAGGCCTCATAGCTGGGACTCAGGATGAGGACTCCAGCCTGGGTCACTGGAGTCTTGCCCAGGCTCCTTCCCCTGGACCAGGACCACATTATGGGACTTAGATGCAGGAAGGAGGGAGAAGTGTTTGGTGTGGTGTTTATGCTCTTAACGTGAGAGGACAGGTGCTGTCTTGCTTACGATGTGTTCGGGTTTACTCTTGGTGTTTTTGAAGTGATGTCAAAGTCAGTTCTTTCGGTGCAGCGATGCCAGACCTCTAAGTTTTTCAAGACGCCTTTAGGACATCCTCATTTATTTTGAAGGGTGTGGTGAACTTCTCAGAAGGTCTCAAAATAAAAGTAGTAGTCTCTGACTTTAATTTTAGAAATACGTACCCAGGTATATGTTCCAGCATTTTTGTGAAATCGGACAGCAGTAAGCTGCCAAGCTTTAGATCATCTTCTGACCGTTTTCAGATTATAAGAAGCAGTTGTGAAGGGGTTTTTTTGCCCCTGGTATTGCCTGTTAGAGTTTGTGGGAGCGGCACCCCAGACAGAGACCCTGCCAAATGAGCCTTCATCTATTAAACAAAAATGTCTGGTTGGCCGTTTCGCCTCAACAGATGGAGGTCTGGTTCCTCATTTTGGTTCTCCTGTTGAACACTGACTCCTTTGTGATCCGCTTGGAGTGTTTGTGTATCATTTAATGTTCGGAAGTAGGCTTCCCCTTATTGGTTGGTTGTCCAACTCCAGGCAAGTGTTGTGACTTTTTGGTGCGTGACAACAGTCCATCCTGGCCAGGGGCTGGCGAGAGATCTGTAGAGATGTGAAATAGGTAAAGCTTCACCCAGGGTTATTTTCTTCGTTGTTGGCACCCTCTTAAGAGTGTCCTATCACTTTGGCCCGTGAAGTCACTTTTAATTTCCTATTTTTTTTCCTGTCTCAATGGACGGCACCTGAGCTTTCCTAACAGGCCTGCCTGCCTTGATGAAGAGCTGACAGATTCATGGTGGTTGGCTTGACAGATGTTCTTTCTGGGAGGATAGTTAAGAAATCTTAAAACTGAATTCAGTCCTAAATTAAAAGTGTAAGTCAGCTCGATACACATATAGGCAGCATATTTGTACCAATGGCTTTTATCATCTCAAAGCTGTTTTTTTTTTTCCTGGCAAAAGGTTAAAATGCAACTAAAATTCTGCTTTCATGATTAATAAGTCACTACCGCAGTTGTGTCTGATGCTTCCTGTTTGCCCCATTTTTGTATTTCAGTTAAACTGGAAACATCTGAGCATTATGGGCACTTTTGATGGCACCAGTGTGAAATTGGCGGGAAGGGGGGCAATTCCTGTCAGTGGATTTGGGAAACTCTAAGGATAAGCCAGCCCCTCTGTCCTCTGCACACCGAGATCCCCAGGAAGGGAAAGGAGTGGGGGTTGAGCATCTGCAAGGGGAGGGTGAGCATTTAAAGTGATGCACGTGTGAAGGCTTCGCGTGTGCTTGGTGATGCTGACTGAAATGTTGAAAGCAGTCAATCAGAAATGGAAGGCCAAATATAGGGCAAACTGTGTAGTAAGACACTTCAGTTGAGCTGAGCGAGACATTGAAGTATGTCAGATGTGGGGTCTTTAGTTCTGGGTTTGTCTTACTACCTGGGTGACAATACAGAGAAAAGTCAATTTTCCTCAGTGGTCTGTGTGCCCTTCTTTGTATTTCTAGGTTAAAAGATGCTCTTCCCTTCTTGTTGTTTTACATCCTTTAATCTCTTATCCTCCTGATATAAATCCCTTGAAATTATATGGCATCAAGAGTAATGGTACTTTGTAGCCATTGTTTTCTGTTTCTCACAATGTTTGTATAAAGAAAGGCAGGGACAAAGATCAGGAAAGTGAAGGCTAGTAAGGAGAAATGAAGTGGACGAGGTTACTCAGGAAATCAGTGTCATGCCCAGAATCTAAACCCACGTTTCTTGACATCTAGTTCACTGTTTTTTCTACTAACTTACTCATGAGAGGATAAGTTGGGTATTTTTCCCCAAAAACACATCAATTTTGAATGTTACTAAATCAAGGTAGCTGTATTTAACAGTCTATTTATGTTACTTATTAATTAATATTAATATGTATTGTTAGAATTGATTATTAATTAATACTGATTATTTGTAATAATTATTAATAAAGGCTGAAAGATCAATGGCATATCCTCTGGGTGGGTCTGCTTTTCCCCATTTCACAGATGCAGGAATGAAGGCAGAGTGGTCAAGTGGTTTGCTCAGAGCCGTAGAGCAAGGCCCTGGTGTCTCCAGGCCAAATGTGGGGGTTTAGGCTGTCAGGTCAGACAGACCTGGGTCAGGGCCCGGTCTGCCACTGTCTGCCTGTGTGACCTCAGGCAAATCACTTCACTTCTCTAAGCATCGGGCGCCTCATCTGTGAATGGGATCAGAAATACTTCATGGGGTTATTCTGAGTAGGAAATAAGAGGGTATATGGAAAATGCTGAGCACAGTGCCTGGCACACGGTAAGGCACAGAACACGAAGGCTGGCGGTGGTGGTGGGAGTTGGAGTAATAGCAGTGGTGGTAGTTGCCGTTTACCACACTGACTGGACCTGTTTTCTGTAAGATGATGTCAGGAAGGGTCAGACTGCCTGACAGGGTAGAGTCATTTTCTCATTAAGACCTCCAGGGGACGTTTCTTCTGTCTAGCGGTTTTTGCTGTCAACTTCTCCCTGTCTTACACTAAATACTGTCTTCACCACCCTCCAGATGAGCCTAAAAAGGCCCAGGAGGCCCTGCCTGACCAGAGTTGGCGATCCTAAACCCTGGGCACTCTCAGCCCTCCCAGGACTCTGAGCCAGAGGCAGAGCTGGGCCTTTCTAGGGCTCCCTGTGTCTGCCATGTGGTGAAGTGGGTCCCCGCCTTAACTCTGGAGGTGAAAAAAAGGAAAATCCTTTGTAGAATATAACTCATCAAAGACTTTTTCTTCTTTGTTTGGGGGACTATGGGGGAAATTTTGGTTCTGTGGGATGAGGTTCCCACCGCCACGTGGCACGCGTGGCTCACCATCCTTTCCTCTTATAAATGTCTTTGTCAACTATCACCAATACCATGTTTGGGGGCCATGGATCTACAGTCAGGGACTTGCAGATTTCCCTTTAAATCATACAAGAAAAAAAAAATTTCACATTACATTTTAAATTCTTTTTTCCCCTTCTTAATACAAAACAAAAATACAGGCTCCCATAGGCTGACGTTCCCTTTAAATAACATTTTGTTTTCTCTTGGGGAAGCTGTCTTCATGGCCAAAGAGTCATTTCTAAAGTGAACCTAGTTTTTAGAAAAAATAGATCACCGGATGTCAAGCCTCATGTGGAGCTCAGTTCAGATGAAAATGAAACCAGCAGGCCTGGAGTGGCAGCTCCACACTTGACTTCAGGCTGGAGGTGAGAGGCAGAGTGTGTCTGGACCCAGCTCGATGGCTGGTTGGCCCCACAGACTGCATTTGATAGGTGCCTTAGTCATTTTCCAGGCAACTTTGCTTAGGTGAGCAGAGCACTTTCTCTGGAAGGTGAGTCACCCATGCAGGGGGTAGGTGACAGGCGATCTCTTCCCCAGCACGTTGCAGAGGAAGTCTTGAGCAGACCTTGTAGAGAAGCCCTCTGCCAAAGATCACATTCATTTCAGCCCAAAGAGGCAGAGATAAGGAAGCAAACAGGAGGCTCCCGCCGCTTGCTGAGTGACAGAGAGATGGACACCCTGGCAGGGGGGTCATGTGGCCAGGGCACCGAGCCCAGATCAGCAGTGTCACTGCCCTTCTGAGTCCAGCAACCTTAAGGGTGGAAAATGGCCCGCTTCCAGTTACAGTCAGCAAAGAAGCAGGAGGGAGCTTTGGCTCTAGGGAGCTGGGAAACCCCGCTGCAAAGAGTAGAGAGAGAGAAGCCGTACTTTGGTGTGAAAGACCTTTTGGGGAACCCTTTTCTACCTGCCTGCCTTTTTGCCATCTGAGTTAGAGCTCTGAAGAGCTCTAGGGATTGGAAAGGCTAGATTAAACCCTGGATTTCAGGAAGCTTTGAAATCCTAAGCCTGTACCACCTCTGTAGTCTACACTTCTGGAGCCAGTGTTTGGACTCAGAAAGAAGCCGCAGAGGGAACTCCTGAGCCATCCCTTCCACTCAGTTTCTGGTTACTGTGGCCTCTACAGAGCCTCTTACCACTAAAGCCATGACCAGGTGTCCATCAAGACAAAGAGTTTGTTCAGCTCTCTGTTCTAGACCAGTGCAGTTGGCGGTGAATTGACTGCTGATGGTCAGGGACATCTGTAAGCAATGTCCAGGGTCACCCACAAGGTGAACTTGACTTTATTGAAGCTGCAGGGGAAAAGCTAGTATTACCTTGCAAGTGGTCTTGTTTCCTGTAACTGTCGCAGACTCCTTCCCCAGCCCTGTCTACACACCCCATCAATCTGGACTAGCAGCAGTCACTTCAGGCGGACATGGCTAAGTGACCTTAAGCCTTAACCACTCTGTCAAGAAAGACCTACTGGAATTACAAACCAGAAATGATCATTACTGTTTGTGCCCTCGTCTATTTTACAGAAGAGAAAATGGTGGCCCAAGAGAGCTGAGTGAGTTGCCCAAGGTCACAGGGCTAGTTAATAGCAAAATCTGAACTACAGTCCAGGCTCTTTTCACTATGCTTTGCTGCCTCTGAACAAAGGAACTGCTCTGGAGCAGGAATTGTACTTTTTAGCTAGCTCCTCCTCCATTCCCCCACCCCCATCCCACCATTCTCAGCCTTTCTGCAAGCTCTGCCAGACCTGGGAAGGGCGGAGCCAGAGCAGCAGCTGCTTTGGGTCTAAGAAAAAGTAAACAGAAAGCTTTTTATTTGACTCTGTCTTGTACCATGAGGTTCGTGTAACCATAAGGAGGTCAAGGTTGATAGGAATATACAGTTCTGGGCAGGGTTACCCGGAAGTCTCAAAGGTTGCCTGCACCTTTAGGGCACTTTCCTACCTTGCCAAGCAATATCTTATCCAAAATGGGCATTCAGTTACTATTAATGATTGATTGCAAGGGTACAAACCCGCTGGGCATCAAGAAGCTCTTCTCCATCTCTCTCCCATGAAGAGACGTGTTGCCCGTGGCATGCAGGTGGCCAGAAGAACCAGAGTAGTTGGGTGTCACTCCGACTGGATTCATCCGGCTTCTCTCAGTGAAGAGAATCTTCCTTGTGGGCAAAGCAATGATGTCATATCTGGATGGTGGCCCCTGTCAGTGCAAAGAGCTGTTGTATCCAAGATCCACCCCCCACCTTCTGCTGACGTTGACATTTCCCTTTACTGGGCCAGAATTAGTCTACTGGTCAATACTAGGGATGGTGGGAGGCTTGGGAGGAAAGCGGGGCTTAGCCAGCCTCAAATGAGGATGCTGTTGCCAATTAAGATTAGAAATGAACTCCTGCGCCCAGATTGATATCGTCCAGTTCAAAAGGGTCATCTTCTCAAGGAATTGAAAGTAATGTGGGTCTCTAGGTCAGCATTTAGGAAAGGGGATGACAAAGGTGGCTCAGTAACTGCTTGCATGATACCTTCTTGGTGGGATGCAGTCAGAATACAGCCACTGTCCTGTAGCCCCTTGTGCAGGGAACTGGCTCCGTCCTCTCCAGCTCACCAGGTGATTGGAGAGTCTGGATGCCCATCTCCCAGGCCAGCCACGCTCTCAGAGCCAGCAGCACTCATCTGTTTCTCAGTAGCTTGTCCGTCGTTTTTTCACTCAGTGCATGCTTACCAGGAGTATCAAATGTGGCAGGCTCTGCTAGGTGCTAGAACATAAAAATGACAGCTGGGGTGCTGTCCTCGATGACTCACCATGGCGAGGGAGAGATGGACATGGGAGCAGATACATTACAGGTACTGAATCATGAACCATGACTGTGGGAGCTGGAGAGGAGTGGGGAATGCACCAAGGCCCTGTGGCCCTCTTTTTCCAGCTTGACCCAGCCTAGTCACACACACAGCTCCTCGGATGGGAGGAGCCCCACCTCCCCATTCTGCAGGTGTCTAGGGGGGAACACCCTCAGCATTTGTCTCATTTGGGGGACTTGTCCTGCTTGTCAGCTTGGAATAGGAGCTTGAGAGCAATCTGGAAACCTCAGCACTATGGGGGCAAGGAGTGCATTTGCGGAGGTGTGAGCACTGTCAAGAAATGTGCTCAAGTGTAGTTCAGAGCAGAAGTAGACCCTGAGTAGCCTGCCATTAAAGACATGGCCAACTTATCCTAGCCTTCCAGGCTGGATAGAGAGGGCAGTGACCACACTGGCAAATCCCACGTGCTTGGGGCCACTCTGAGACAGATTTGTAGGCGGATAGTCCGAGGCCTGAGCTATGACAGTGCTTCCTAGTAACTAGGTTCAGCATTCCAGGAAGGCCTTTCTGGGGTTACGAGGGTGAAAGCTCTGCGAGGGCAAGGACCTTGTCTGCCTTGGTCACCATCACATCTGCTCTGGCCAGCACAGCATCTGGAGCCTGGTAACCACTGGCTAAGTATTTGTTGTTCAGTGAAAGTACAAGACCAAAATCCACACTCCTCCTCATCCCTCCTGGCCTGGGAGAGGATGAGAGAGCCACAGGCTGTCTCATGGGTCCCCCTCCTTTACCAAGGAAATTGGTCTGAGACCCTCTGCAAATATTCCGTCATACCACAGGTCCCAAGCCCTTACTTCCCTTCCTGGGGGAGGACAAGAATGTGACCCTGTATTGTAAAGGGACATGTCAAACGCACCCCTGCTGCTCATGTCCTGAAGCTGGTCTCTCAGGCCAATCTGTCAAAGGGTGCGTAAGGCGGCATCTGAAACGAGGCCATGGTTAAGGTTCCACTGCCAGAGGGCAGAGCTGGACCACGAGCTTCTTTCCATTTAGCCCCATGCGTTGGAAGTCTTCTGTGGAAAGCCAAGTTGTTTGGGTTTCTTGTTTATTCTGAAGTTCCTCAAACTAGTTCCTCAATTTCAGAACCAGTCACCAGTGACAACAATGAACTTGAAGCCTCCTCCCTGATAGGGAGGCCGAGCCTATCCTTTTCCCTCTTTTCTGAATACAGGTAGACCCTGCCTGAAGCCAGTTCCACCTGTGAAAAACCAGAGTTAGGAACTGAGGAGGGGAGCAATTGTATTTCAGTGCGATTGACCATAGCCCAGGGAGCTGCTCCTTGCTCAGAATCCAATCAGAAAGGTTAAATAAGGAGAACTGTTTTGCTTGTAATGATGACCTCAAGGCTTGGCAAGATCCAGAAGTGCATTTTGACTCATCAAAGAAAGCTGGTTGTGTTTGGCATGATTTTAGTATCAAGGGCAGTTTATGGCACTGTAATCTTTGGAAATTGGTCATTATTGTATGGTACACACTGCAGCCCTCACTTAATCAGAATATTCAGTTACACAAAATACCCCAACCTGCAGATTTCAGTAACACTTGAAATTTTTTTACATAACATACATTAAAAATGTCTTGCTGCTTATTGTGTAAAATAAGGAGGCACGTGATTTGGCTTTTTTTCTCAGTACTACTCTCCCTCCTCCATTCTCTTGCATACCAGTTCCATAATTGTCCCTGTGGATCAATGACGTTCTAGTGGCATCTTTTCTATGTGCTATTGGCTCTCCTCATGCAAAGAACTCAAAAGTTGAATTGCAAATGCTATTGTAACACTTTTCTTTTAAAGCTTATACAGTGCCCTAAATCAAGGGCCTGGAGATAAAGTACTGACCATATTTATGAAGACAGTAGCTGATGCTCAAGGCTTTGCTATTTAAAAAAAACAAAACCAGTAAAATATAAATTAGGCTCAAAAAGCCTGGAGCCAGACTTTATAACATGAATGGCAAATTTGAACTTTGTCATAGTATTGGTCCCTGGGGTGGGCCTCGCTATGCTGGGAGTGGGTGGGCTAAGGCACACAGGCCTGCCACATGTCCAGCTTGGAGTTTTTGCTCCCCATCACCTTTTTTTTGGGGGGGGGGGGATGAGGAAGATTGGCCCTGAGTTAACATCTGTGCCAATCTTCCTCTATTTTATGTGGGACCCTTGATGAGCAATGCTAGGTCCAAGTCTGGGATCCGAACCCACGAACCCTGGGCCACTGAAGCAGAGCGTGCGAACTTAACCACTATGCCACCAGGCCAGCCCCTCCCCATCACCATTTTAAAGTTGCCTTTTCCAGAACATAGGCTGTCTGCATTCATGCTAATTATTGAGATGCTTCCTCCTGGGTCAGTCCCTGGGTTTCTCACTAACAGACCTTTGGCTTGTGGCAGCTTCTGCATTTGGGTCCGAATTTTTAAAGCTTAGATCATTTCAAAGTGGAGAGATATAGTATTGTTAAGACTATGGGCTTTGACATAAAAGAGTCCTGTTTGCAAATCCTGCTTCTGCCACTTCCTTGCAGTGTGGCCTTGGGCAAATGACTTGACCTGCTGAGCCTCAGCTTCTTCCTCCGTGCAAAGGGAGTAATATTAGTGCCTTGCTCACAAGCATATTGTGAGGATTCGAGAAATAATGCATGCATTACCTAATAAATAGCAAACAATAATAGATGCCATTATTATTTTTATTATTATTGACAACCAGCCTGTAATTATATGTGTACACATAGCAGCAGATTGTTGAAAACACCCAAAGATGTGCACAGGACAACTAATTTGAGCTCTAGCTGCCGAGGAGTTCTGGGTCCTGGTTTGTCACACGCTAGCGGGTCGTTCCTCAGTCCATGCAGAGCTGAGGCAGTGCCAGCAGAGAGAGAAGCTGGATGGTGTGTGCAGGGTGCTCTTCAAAGGACATCCTCCCTCGTAGGGTGTCCTTTTCTTGCTGACCACTTCTGCCCCTCTGCTCTCAGGATTCTGGCCACTTCCTTGACAGTGTCTATTCCAGACCTTCCTTCTGACGCTGGGGCTGCTGGCTGGACACTGTGGGAGGTGGGTTTCAGCTCCGCATAGGCAAGGACTTTCAAACAGCTGCTCATCTTGTAACAGCTTCCGTCTCACTGGAGGTTCTGCTAACGTTGATAGAGAACCCACCGTGCGCCAGGCACTGACGGGGCCTTTAAACATTGTTTCTTGCATTTAATTGTCCTGTGAAATCCTGTTACTTCAGTTTAAGGGTCTCTGTTTTACAGATGAGATACCTGAGTCTTGAGTTACATGACCTGCCCATGGTCACACGCTAGAATGTTGAGACACTGTGATTCGAACTCAGATCTCCTGACTCCAAGACCATTCTCTTATGTAGCTGGGTGGCCGTCCCTCAGGATTATTAAGTGATGTGTTGGAATAAATGACCTCCAAGGGCCCTTCTGATCCCAAGATCATTTTGTGATTCCTTTATCATTTATTCATCCATTCACTCATTCTCCCCGACTAGATTTTAAGCACCTTGAGGGCAAGGAGAGCATCTTTCTAGCAAATAACTAATATAATGTTCAGGAACCACCTGTCCTTGACTCATGGCTGCTGCCTACTTCCCTGGCACACAGAAACAGGAGAGAAGAAAAGGGTCACCCAGAAATTCTAGTCCCAGAAACTTAACCATCTAGAATTTCTTGTACAAGTGCACCAATAAGTGAATAAAGGTATTTTTTTGTAGTATTACTTATAAGAGTGAAAAATTGGAAACAATTTGAGAGTCCATCCATAGAGGAATAGATGGAGAAATGGTGGTATATCTGTACCATAGAGTAATATTATAGAATCTTATGGAGTCGTTTAAAAAACAGATGGCTCCACATACATAATAATCTATTGTTAAGTAAAAGAAGCAACTTATAGAATATTATATATGTATAAGCCCATGCTTATTTTAAAAATAGTCCCAAACTCTATGTTTGTATATGGATACTAATGGAGTAGAAGGACTTACACCAACCTTAAGTGTTACCTATGTTGCAGAGAGATGGGAATGGTGCAAGGATTTCTTTTTTTTTCCCCCTCTATGCACTTTTGTAGGGTTGAAATTTTTACAGTGAACAAGTATTAATTTTGTATTTGAAAACAAAATAAGGATTAAGAAAATATTAACCAAGGTCAGATGTTCCATAAGGAAGATGAGAGAGACTAGCCAGAAAAACTTGGTTCTTCCAGGTTTCCTGGATTGAGACCAGCCTTCGACCCCACCCCTTGACATAAGCAGCGAAGGAGGGGCTAGTGGTTTTCTCTCAGGTCCAGTGCTGCTGTGTTTCCCGCTCTTTATGGGGCCACTTGTGCCCACGAGAGGTTCTTACATCCAGCACCAACACAGACCTTAACTGCTGTACACGCTTGTCTTGGATGATTATACATAAAAGCAGGGAACCAGAGTAGAATGTGGCTGACAGAGCCATCTTTGAGCACCTTCCTACTTCTTGAGTCATAACTGATAAAACCCACAGTCCCCAGGGGAGAACAAGAAAGAGAGGGAAATGAAAACCAAAACCAGGAGGGACGAGCTTACCCATCTCCAGCCTTCTGGCGACTGCCAGAACTTGCCTACTAGCTACAGAGATTCTGGTGAAGGTTTCCTGTGTGGGTGGTGTGTGTGCGGGGTGAGGGAAGCAGTCATCATGTGTTTACTAGGTCCCACTCACAAATGTGGACCAGATGCCTCCTAAAGTCTCATCCCATATCTTCTATAGTTATCACTTGTTTTCATTATGAAAGTAATACTCCACACAGAACAGCTCTGGAGGGATATACAAGGAACTGGTTTTCACTGTATATCCTTTCTGTATTTTTTTTTAACCACTTGGAAACATTATCTGTTAAGAAATGAAAACTGAGAAAAGTAATGCATGCTCACTGAAAATAATGTGGAAAAATTAGAAAAGTGTAAAGAATATTAAAACACCACCAAGAGAGAACCATTGTTGCGTGTCTATGCTTGGTGTCTGCATTTTTATAAATGTCAATGTAATATACAAACACATGCTAGGTGGGATCATACTCTAGATATAATTCAGTATCCTTTTTCTGTTGACATTTTATTCCGTAAGCATTTTTCCATATAGTTAAAAATTATTTATAAACTTTTTTTTTTTTTTTTTTTGCTGAAGAAGATTAGCCCTGAGCTAACATCTGTTGCCAATCTTCCTCTTTTTTGCTTGAGGACGCTCCATACCTAGATTGCAAATGTGGGTTGTGCACACAAGAAATGGCTCTCTTCTCTGGGTATAATGCTTTACTCTTTCCAGAGTTCTGTCATCTGTGTCATTTCATTTGATGGGTAAAGGCAATGAGGGTGTGATTAAGGGCCAGGGTGAGAGTGAGGAGCCCCCGGTGTGCCAGAGGCAGTCAGAAAAGGAAGCCAGCAGTGCTGTGGAGCTGTTGGGAGGGGCTTCCTTGAGGTGGAAGAACTGGGCTTTGCCTGTGAAGGACAAGCAAGGATGTGGCACACACGGAGACCTGTAGATTTGAGTAGCTCATGGGGTGTGAAAAGACCAGACTGGCCAGAGCCAAATTCTGCGTTTAGGGAAACCATGGTCAGACAGATTATGAACCACAGGGTTGGGGCTGGTCCCATAAGCAGTGCCGAGCCAACAGATGTCTTTGAGCCTGAGGTTATCTTAAGGACATGATGTGTCAGATTAGCTTGGCACCAGTGTAGGATGGGAAGGGGTCAGGAGAAGCCAGAAGTGCGTGAGGCCTGTGCTGATAGGATAGATGTGAGGTGGTTGCCTTAAACATTTAAAGAGGCCTGTAGACAGCAGTTTTCTGCATGTACGGTGCTAGCCAAGGCTGACAGGCACGTGGCAGGAGTTGGAGGACAGTCATAAATTTTATTCCGTACATTTCATTTACCCCGCAGTTGGACCTATGGAATTGGCAGTGAGACTGAGTTTTTGTGGACATATCAGGTTTCTGTTTTATAATTGATCTGTAAGATTTTATGGATTAATGTACATTCATATTTCATATCCTCCTTAATGGGAAATGCTTATGCAGAAATTGCTCTCCTGGGAAGCAGGCCTCAAGCTGGCGAGCAAGGCGGGTTTTGAGATTCCTCCAGCTGAGTTTCACTCAGAGGGCTCCCTCCTTCCTCAGATGTCTGTTTCCAGGTCCCAATGCCCACTCGGTCTCTCCATCTAGGGAAAGAATTAAGCAAGCCTTCCAAAAGCTTGTAACTTGTGATACGGTCAGCCCAGACTGGGGCAGTGGGGGGTGGGTTCTGTCCCAAAGGCAGGGTTTTCATTTAATGCCCAGCATTCACCATCTGCCCCTACCCTGTAGGTGTTTCCATCTGGAACTTTGCCCCTGAATTATATGCCTTTCACTAAGAAGTTGCTTCCTGGGGATGTAATCAGGACCAAGCATAGTTCCCTGATCTGGTACCTGAACTCCTTCTTGCTGCCTTTTCTCCTGCAGCTCCCTGACCTAAACTTTGCCCACCAACAACTCCAAGCTGTTTGTGACTCCTACTTACACACCTGTGTGCCTTAACTTTTGCCATTCCTCTACCTTTTTCTTGAGTAATTCTTGCTCACCCCTTGAGACTCAGCCCTGGCATCACCTGCTTTAGGAAGCCATTCTGACACCCACCGGGCTAGGCTAGGTGTCCCTCTTGTGTACCTGTTGCATCTGCTGTGTGTCTATGTCTGTCGTTGCATTACTGTATTGTAATTTCTGACTACTTGTCTCTTTCCCCCAGTAGGCTGTAAGCTTCTCAAGGGACTCCGTCGTCTTCCCCAGTGTACACCCAGTGCTCAGCACAGGGCCCAGCGCCCAGCAGGCTCCACACATGTTCAAAGAATGCCATGTTATATGAGCCTGCAGTTCTCTGCAGTTTGATAGGATGCCCCAGAGCGGGGACCTTACTCATCCTTAAAGCCTCAACCTGCCGCCAGCCTTTGGATTTTTAGGCTCTTTATTGGGTGCATATAAGTGATTATTATATCTGTTTGTCTTAAGTATTTTGTCTGATACTAATATTACATGTTTTTGGTTAGTATTGGCCTGGCATGCCTCTTTCCATCCTTTATTTATTTATTTATTTATTTTTTGAGGATGATTAGCCCTGAGATAACGTCTGCTGCC